TGATTTGACTGTTTTTGTAAAACAAGTTGGTTCTTTGTCAATGGGATGTTTTGCCGCAAGAAGTGCACGAGGGAGAGGATAACGAATTGTGCCATCAATTGCGACTCTCGGCTTCATGGAATTTTTTTTGACCTACTTATCATGGAGTGTGCTTGCTATGGAGTTTGAGTGGTAACAATATTTGGTTGATGATTGTGTGCTGTAGCATTAGGAAGTGCAATGTCAGACACAACAACCCTTGCTGGAGGTTGAGTGCCACTATCCGGCATCATTGAATGGTTGATGTCAGTGTGCAAAGATTTAATCCCTGTGAGAGTTGTGATAGTACCTACATTAGGAGTTTGTGGACTCATAGAAGTCAGATTAATAGGGATACAAGCAGGAAGAGAAACAAATTCGATGGAATTGGGAGTTTGAGATTGAGTTGACGACTTTGTATACGGGAATAGATTTTCATTAAAAACGTGTCTAGAGACATATATTTTTCCAGGGGCTAGGTCAAGACACTTTTACCCATGATGACACATACTATATCTGATAAAAATGCATCTTTTTGCTTCGAAAATCAATTTTGTTAGGGGTGTCAATCGTGTTATGTCGTATTATTTTCGTGTCGTGTCACTTTCGGTACGTGTCAATATTCGTGTTAATAAAAATTATTTAATTTGACAACAACTTATATAATACTATTTAAAAATTATAGAAAATTATAAAATTCTTTTTTTTTTTTGCTTACAATACTCGTTAAATAATTATTTTGATCTACAGTATCCATTATTCGTGTTGTGTCGAACCTTAATTTGACCAATTCATTACTCGTGTCAGTTAATCGTGTTATTTTCGAATTTTGTGTTAGATCGGATTCGTGTCAAGTTCGTGATAACGGAAAAATTGACATCCCTAAATTTTGTGATGGTTGTAGGGGCGAAGATGCGGCCAACAGGTACATCCGAAAACTCTAAAAAAATGTGTAGTCAGCTTTTCTAGAATATGCCATTTCATATGGAGATTTATTTTTTAAAATTTTAGTCGGCAACCTATTGATAATACAGGAAGCTGTCGGAAATGCATCCTCCCAAAATTGTTGAGAAAGATTGTAATGAGGTAGGAGAGCCAAACCCATTTCAACAACATGACGGTGTCGTCTCTCAACAGCCCCCATTTGCTCTTCTTTGAAATATCTTGACAGTCGACGATATTCTCTACCCCAATCTATTTGAATGGATTTGATACGACTATCAAAATGTCTTTCAACATATTTTTGGAATTGAATAAAAAAATTTTCGACTTCTGATTTTTGTTTTAGGGGAAACAACCAAATAAATTTGGTGAAGTCATCAACAAAGCTAATGTAATAGCGATTGCCATTAGTAGAAAGAATAGAGCTAGGTCCCCAAACATCTGAGTACATTAATTCCAAAGGTTTCGAAGAGCAAAACATTGAAGTATTAAATGGTAAACAGTGGCTCTTGGACAATTGACGATCTAAGCAAACATGTGGCTCTTTATTCCGAATAACTGGAAATTTATTTGACAGTAAAACTTGCTGAACAACGATAGAAGAAGCATGACCATGTCTCTTATGCCAATCAAGAACTGGAACACGAATGCTGACGAAGGCTGATGCATTTGAATTCTTGAAAGGATGTAAAAAACAATAGAGCCCATCATGCAGATGTCCTTGGTGAAGGATGCTCCTCGAGTAATCCTTAATGACAAAGAAAGAATATTAAAATTCAAAGTGCACATTATTGTCTTTAGCAAATTTGTGTACAGAAAGAAAAAAAATTTTGGATTTCAAGAACAACTAAGACTTGATTTAAAATAAGGATTAGAAAGGAGTGCGAAGAACAAAGGAGCCAGAATGAGATATAGCCAAACCTACATCATTTCCCACATGGATCTGATCCGAGCCTGAATATTCATCACTACAAAGATTCAAATTAGTGAGGTCAGAGGTCAAGTGGTGTGTTGCTCTAGTGTCAGGATGCCAGTTATTGTCCGTAGCCTGATTATTGGAAGCCATCATTGCTGGAGGGTGGTTGGGAGCAGGGTCTTGGTAGAAGATGTCAAACCGGTGGAAACACTTCTTGGCTGTGTGACCAAGTTTTTCACACACTTGGCATATAATATTGGCACGACTGTTGTGCGAATTGCGGCTGGAACCTCCTCTGTTGGAGTGATAAGAAAAGTAGTTTGAGTTAAAGGTGGAGCCTCATCAAGGCTTGTAGTTGTTGTTACTGCAGCCTCGACCACAGTTGTTGGATGATTGTCTTTGGACAACATTAGCACTAGCTCCATTGATTGAGTGGTCGGATGTTGTGACTGATGTGAGACTCACAAGAAAGCAGCAGGGAAAATAACTCCTCTATTACGATAGGGCCTTTGCAGGCTGTGACAGTGGCAACTAGGAACTCGTAGTCTAATCCAAGACCAGTTGGAACATATGCAATAACATCATCACAAATCAAAGGTTGTCCAGCAATAGCCAATTCACCAGTCAGGCATTTGATGTGCATAAAATAGTCAGTAGCATATAAATTGCCTTTGCGGGCAGTGGCAAGCTGACTTATAATTTGAACTGTCCGAGAATTTGATTGAGAGACAGCATTGCTCAAGGGAAAACCAAACCTCTCGAAAAGAAGTGCAGTGTATTACCTGTTCAATAATACTTCTGGTGAGTGAAGACAGAAGAGTCCTGGGGATTGCAAAATCCTGTTTGAGTCATTGGGAATAGGCTGTATTAGGAATAGAGGTGATTTCACCAGTCAGGCGTTTGATGTGCATTAAATAGTCAGTAGCTGATAAATTGCCCTTGCAGGTAGTGATGAGTTGACTTCTAATTTGAACTGTTCGAGCCCTTGATTGAGAGGCATAACATTGCTCAAGGGAAAATCAAACTTCTCGAAAAGAAATGCAGTGTAATACTTGTGTAAGAATACTTTCAGTGAATGAAGATAGAAGAGTTCTGAGGATTGCAAAATCCTGTTTGAGCCATTGGGAATAGGTTGTATTAGGAACAGAGGTGATTTCACCAGTTTCTTGAGTCACAAAAAACATGGGTGGCAGGCTTTGCAATAGTACCATCTATGTACCCAAAAACATCTTGACCCCTGAAATGGGGAATTAATTAATTGAGCTTTCCACAGGAGATAGTTGTCCTTGTGTAGGTTGGTAGTAACAACAGTGGTTGTGGCAGAGAATGTGGGGAGGGAAGAAGTGTTGTGGTCACTGGCGTCCCTCTGAGGTAGTTTTTTTTCTCCCCTCCCCACCTCTTATTTCTGTCATACTTTCTGCGCACAAACAACCCCCATTGATGCCCTAATTCGCGTCTCCCTTCTTCTTAATTCGCTCATTCTCTCTTATTCCATTCCCCGTTTCTCTTCTCTCCATCTATCTACTACGTCGGTAACCACACCACTCTATGTATTTATGTCTCTATCTGTCTCTCTCTCCGCACAACACACATATCATATGCAAGGTGTTCGACCAAATGCACACAAGGTGTCAATCAAATGACCTTAACACTCAACGCACAACATGCACGCCACATGCCACACACACAACCCCTATTTCCTCTGCTTAGATTTGTTATTTAATTTTTTTTCTCTTTAATTTTTGTATTCATTTGATGCTAAGTTTTGGTTAAAGATGGCTATTAATATTATTGTTTTTGTTCGTTTATTCTCATTTTAGCTTCAATCGAATGGAATATTTTGCAGTTGATTGGGTATAAGAAATGAATGTTGTTGTGGGTAGCTAAGGTTCTATATTTCGTCGATGCGCTGCCAATCATAGCTATCTAAGGCTTTATGCTTCTTCAATCTATGATTTGGGTACACTTTTAGATTATTGATCAATTTAATAGTATTAATTTGTTTATGGGTGTGTTGGCATTTGGATAGTTTGACAAAGTTCGATAGTTGATTTTAGAATTGAATCACTAAATGTTGTGTAACTTGGTGGATATTTAACCTATATTTTGATGTTTATAGGTGTTGTTAATATGCAAAGAATGTTCGGAGAATTGAGTTTGTATATGTTTGCAGGTTTTTAATTTAATGTTTTTCAATTGTGTTTTGAGTTAGTTATTTGAGGCAATGAAAGATTCATAAAATCATTTTTATATTCGAAATTTGATTTGTTTGCTTATTTTTTTTTTTCAATTGAATGGGTCAATGTACTTGAGAAATTCATAGGAAATGGCTAGATATTTATCTTTTAACGGAGACAATTGAATTACAGGATGCACAAAGCTAAAGTTGGATATCTTGCCAAGTTTATGGATCATGATTTTAAGGGGGAGAGGAGGAAATGGGTTGTGGTCGTTGGTGGGGTTTGATGGGAAAAGATGGCGTGCTTTTGGAGGGGACATTAAGTATGGTATATATGTAAGTTAATTGGTAATATTTGTTGGTGAGATCATGAATTATCACTTTTTTTTTTTGAATGCACATGATCAAGCCACTATGTTGGTTTTCGTATAGGTGGTGACACTGGAGGGTTTAATGTACTAAGATTGTAATTTTGTTGGTATTGAGATACTGTCGTTAATTTTGAGTTTTTGTTTTTGTTGGTTAAAATTCATTGATGGTTGTTCAATTTATATCAATGAATTTTTATTTTTTTATTCTAATTTTTTGTGATATAGAATGTTGTTAGGCACAGACATTAACTTTAGAGGTTTTGTTATTTTTCGTATTTTAGGCAATTACGTGCTAAGGTATTGCGTCGGTGATTATAATGTTATTTGGATGATTACGTTTAAGCTATTATATGTTAATGCAATTAGATAGGTAGAATAAAAATTTATTAATTCTTTAGCTTACAATTAATTATTTAATTTTTATAACAAAAATAAATCTTCCTAACTAAAATCTAATTGTACTCTAATTATTCGCCGAATGTAATCTGCAAGTCACTATTCACCTACCTACACTATGACCCACCAAGCCATAGCCCAAAATTAAGATTTAATACTCAGAATTGTAAGGCTTTACCCCGAAGGGAGCCCTTCCAGAAATTCTCTTAGGCCTAGGCAGAACCCAGGCCCAAGAGGGGGTTTGGAAATAGTTTTCAACCAGCAATTGACGCGCCTCGGTTAGAACCTCACTAGCTGCGTCATTGCCCCAAGCGCAAAGATACTGTCTAAGGCCAGTGCAGCCCTTTTTTATGGGCGGTCTTCTTTTCGTACTTCTTACGTGCTTCCGATGTGGGACTCGTAATATATTCGAAGAGGTTATCCACCCGCTTGTCTGAGTCGGCTTGTCTTGCTTTAGTTGCTCACATATGAAAGCCTCAACACCAGGGAGATCATTCCTATGATACAACATCTCTCTCTTTCTCTCTTGTTTGTGTGTGTGTGTGTGAATTGTATGTAGAGGTTGGACAATGGGTAAACTTGCAGTGGGGAAAGAGCTATTAAAAGAAAACAGAGTGCGCAACAAAGGGTAAGTGCCTCTATCGTCTCCTTTGTGTCCGAAAACCTGTATGATTCTCCAAGACTTGGACGATACAGTTGACCTAACAGCACCTTTTAGAGAGAGAGAGACAGAGTGTGTGCCATGGATAAGGTGTTACAAGAAATCCTGAGGTCCCAACTCCCAATCATTCCATGGCATGCCTCTGTCTCGTTGGTCCATCCCATTGGCATTTCCTATACATCTTTCTCTTTCTTTTTTGTTCCTCTTTGATTCGACTTCAATGGGTAAACCTTTTTCTTGCCTTCTTTTGAGTACCTAATTTAGAAATTTTATCTCGAAACTTAATGTATTATAGTCATTAAATTGTTAGTGAAGGTCATTCAGTACTAATCCAATGCAAATTCATTCAAGATATATTATTTACAATAGATATTGGTCGGGTATTTTCAGTGATGGACTCATGGCTAAATGAATTGTTTTCATTGGAAACTCCTTGTATTGCATCCCTTTTAAAAAAAAAAAAGATGAATTGTTGGCTATTTTAGTCATGTACAAACGTTGGCCCAGGCAACGCACAGAATACACAATTGCTCGTCCTCTGTTACTCTATTCTTCTCTCATCCTTCCCTTTTCCTTACTCCAACCTGCACCCTCAATCATCATTTGAGAAATTATAGAGAAAAATATAAGTTATAGGAAAATAAAAACTGATTTTCTTTACAAAATTTACAAATAAATGGTTAAAAAATAGTAAAAGTAAATTTAATTGGAGGGTAAACTATAATTTACAGTCTAAAAGTATGCACCTAATTCTTATTTGGTTCTTAAAGTTCCAATTGTGGCAATCAAATTCTTAGGGCTTTAATTATATTTTAATTTAGGCATTACATCAAAATAGACTAGAAAAATTGTATTTTATTTTATTTTACTTGAAGAAAAAAAGATAAAGTGAAATTTTTAGAGGTATCGTGAGACAGAGAAATAAAATATTAATGTATTTGAAAGATATATTTTTTGCTGGATAAATATAATCTTATTGGCAAGTCTTGTGACTATTTTTTGAAACAAATTAATAGATCTAGATAGAAACTCAGTTAAAAATTTAAGGATGTAATTATTTAAATTAAAATTTTAGAGAGCAAATAAAAATTATATGCATATTTTAATGGTATGTTTGGTTGGCTGAATTAAAAAATAGAAAGATGAAAAATGAGAATGATAAATTTTCTATCATTTAAGGAATAAATCATTATTTCCGTTATTTGTGTTTGGTAGGAGGAATGAAAAGTTAAAATAATTGATTTTTTTGTGTTTAGTAAGATGTAAAAGCGGATGTAATTGATTTATATATATAATTAATATGTATATACTATGTAATAGATAAATAACATATATTTTAACACTCATAATTAATTTTCAATCTATTTTTTCTCTCACTTTTGGAGGAATGAATTTTAATAAGTTGGAAGAAAAATTAATTTATCCACTTTTTTATTTTTCTTACTTTTCTTCTCTATCAAACATAATATATTACCAATCATTTCAATTTTTTATCCTTTCAATTTTTTAACTTTCAAAAACATAAGGTTATAAATGACAGATTCCTTGGAAACAACTAATCGACATTGTGTTCAACCCAACCCCAATAAATTCTGGGATAAATTTCATTCACACCCCCCTTTAGATAGGTTTAACTTCAACCATAACTTTTTTTTTTCTGAAATTTTACTACTGTCCCTCCTAGTTTATTTGTCTATTTCATTTAGACCCCTGTCGTAATTGATCGTGACTAACAACTTCAAAAACGTTTTATGTCAGAAATATTTTGATTAAATGCCAAATTTATTTGTGACGACCCGTATATTAATTAATCATTGATATATTAATTAGGTCATTAATTATAATTTTATATAATTAAGATTTATTTTTTTAGGAATAAATAGATCTCAAATATAAACTCTTCACACAAAAATGAGTCAAAATAATTATAATTTAGATCAAATTTTATAATCATATAATAAATAAACATATCTATAAATATCTGTATATATGTGTGTGTGTGTTTGTCTATGAAAGGACAAGCGTCCTATTTCATATTGCAAGATTTGAAACGTGCAAAAACAAAAAAGGAAGTGGTAAACAAATGGACAATTGTCCATGTGAGGTAATTGCAAGACGTCATGGCTGAAGTTGGCAACCAAAGCTTTGCTAGAAATAGCCTACCTTTGGCCCTTCGAGCAGCGCACCAAAGAGAAGAAAAAAATAATAAATAGAGGAAGAGAGAGGGGAAGTGAAGAAAGCAAGAAAAGGGATCAAAATTTTGTTGACTTAAAAATTAATTTTTGTAATCAAAATTTTTAGGTAAGATTCTCTTAGTTATTATTTAGTTCTACAGATATGAGTCACTTAAAATTGATTCTTATTAAATATTTTTAAATCAAATTTAAGTATTATTATTTTTCGTTATTCTAAAAATTATTTTAACTTAACAAAACTCTTATTACGTATTATTATTCTAAAATATTATTTTAGTTGTTTTGTCACAGTACACGGTATTGAGTTGCAGATATGTTAGAGGTAGAATTTCTTTTATCTTTTACTATCATTGATGCATTTCATGCATGTTCAGGGGTTTCATATCCGATCTATGTTTAATTATATAATATAATATTATATCGTTTTAATCATATGGTTAAATTGAGGTTTTATAAATAAATCGTGATCATGCACATATTATATTTTTGTTATTTATATCGAGACCATAATTATCTTGTGAAACCATGTTACATAATAATTGTTTTTTTATTATTATTTAATGTTTGATTTCTTTACTTGTGGGTCTGATTACTATATGACTTTATTTTATAAATTTGAGAAAATTACTATAGATGCACATAATTGAGGGCAGAGAGGTTAGTAGATACATGGTCCTTGCAAAGATTCCTACTAGTTCTTGGATTTACTGGTTAGTAATATCAATTTTTGTGATAGCCTATGTGGCACCACATAATTTTCGGTATTGGGTTCCCTAGGGTGCGAGACCCCAAAGTTTTTCTCTGAATACGGTTTATGCGTGGACCAGAAAATTGACGGATTGATATGATCAATATATGCTAAAATTTATTTATTTAATTCATTAATTTGCCCTATTCTTGCTTTGATAGTCATTGATAAACATTATTTTACTGGACTGTTGAACTCATCATTATCTAACATTTTTCAGAAATATAAAGTCAGGCAGAAGGACAAGAGAGAACATTGATAGTCGTAATCGTACGTTGAATATAACAATACAAGAAAAGTTATTATAATTTATGTGTAGTTTTATTTCTTAATCATGTCCGAATACTTTTTTTAAAAGAAAAAAAAAATTGAGAGCGTGACATTACCCTACATCTCATGGAGATGGAAAAGGATGTGTGAGAAGGGAGAAGTTCTCTGTGATAATCTTTGAGATGGCTACGAGGCTTCGTAGTTCTGTTTGACTGTCTAGAATTACTAGAAGTAGAGATAGGGATTGCAGGAGGAACAACAGATGAAGGATCTGAGACACTAATAAAATCTGGGACTAAGATAGAGGTAGCTGCTACTGCTAGGACAGAAGGAGTTTGATCTAATACTAATGATCCTCCCCGTAGACTTTCAAGTTCTCATCCAAACAAAATTAAAACTTTATTAAATTAGATTTTACGGTCAAATTTATGTCCTATTTAATATTTTTAAAATACAACAATATCTTAATTAATATTATAATACAAACAATAATATTATAATCTAAACAATCTCTTTAAGTAAAAAAATAATAAATTCATAATATAATTAAATGATGATGGGACTTTTCTGAAATACTGCATGATGAAAACACGTGTTCTCGGTATTACCAAAACACTGTTGCTAAGATCAAGTACCATCGGCGCACAAAGGTCCTCGCCCCCGAGGTACTCGTCATATAGGATCATGGCATTCAGTACGAGTTACAACCAACACGTAGCCTCGGTCTGATATGGTACCTCGGTCGGTATCCCTCCCTCGGTTCCGAGATGGCCTTTCCTCGGTGCCAAGAGGTACCCCGTCCTGGACGCTTCCTCTACTCCAGGATAAGCTATCAACGTACAGGTCATTAGCCTAGGCTATTCATCATGACATCGTCTTACACAATTAGTGTCAGAAAGTACTGGAATGCAGGGGCCACAGCCAATGGGGGATGGACGCGTGGCATATGATATCACATCGAAGACAGAGAAACCACATGCCGTTGCTGACACACGACTTGGGAAAGCAAACGATTAATTACACCATTCCCTTGACGAGACCGCATTCAACGCGGTAAGGCTCGAAAATGAAAGGCAATAAATGCTCCTAATACAGAGCATTTATTGCATCCTCCCCGAGAGGAGTACATTGTACCGTTGGCATCCTGATGACACAGCATTGATTGCTCGGGACCCCGAGCAGTTAAGAAGAGAAGACATTCCTCATCAGAATCAGTGCGCACACTGCCTGTACCTAATGATCACCTACTGACTACACTGACAGCAATCATGAGCTTTTGAGGTATAAATACTCCTTGCAAAAGGCAAGACGGGTATGCAACAAAAAACTCTTTACTACAATACACACTCAATGTTTTCTCCTTCCTCTCTCTTTCTAAAAGACTGACTAGATCGTCGGAGGGGATACGCCGAAAAACACTCCGGCGCCCTTCTAACTTGTTCTTCTTTGTTCCAGGAACCTCTTTCAGCCTTACTGGATCGTTCTTCCGCTCCCCCAGGGTCTCCCGTTGCCGTTCCAGGTTACCACCGGACCTCGCAGGCTGTTCCAAGCAGCGTGGTTGGTCACTCAACTAGCTCACTCGAGTTCACCAAGGGAGAGATATGTTCTCATTTTTTATATTGTGCAGGATCTTGCAC